GTTGGCGCGGCGGAGCGGACCGGTCGGCGCGGCGGAGCGGTCCCGGTGACCGAATGACCGCTGTCCGTCGGCCGGTCCCCGGATGACGCCGACGGTCCGCCATCTGGCCCGGCCGGCGCGCCGGGGCACCATTGTGCGGCGCCCGCGCACCGGCCGCGGGCCGGACGTGCCGCTGACGGCGCGCCAGGCGTGTAACTGTTTCGGTGGCGGCGGACCGCGGCTCACCACCGGCCAGCGGGGCGGCGAGACGAGCCGGTCTGGCAGTCACGGGCAGCGCCACCCTGACGAGTGTGGGAGGCTGGCGGTGACAACGCCGGTGGGTAGCGGGTTTGTTTCCGCTGTGTTACATTAGAAAGTCGAGTATGCTACAGAAAGGATTAGACCAGGCACGTTGGCGAGCGTCGAACACTACCGTGTTTGTTCTTCAAGTAACCGGTTCTCACAAAGCTGCTAGCTCAGATGGCAAATGAGTAGCCTCTCCGGCTTGTCTGTCCATATAATCGGTCCAACTGCATTTTCGGAGCGAGCTTTCTACCAGACATAATGGCTGCACCGTGCACGCGACCTTGCGACCTGCGACCTTGATTCAGCTCGCAGGCCAGAGAGGCAGCAGACACTGATTGCATCAAGGCCCGGGACCCAGTAAAATACCATCTTGAATCAAAAGAGGCTGGAATAGGCCTTTGTCCTCGCCTGATCCTAATCTGACCCGGCCGGCTGCGCGAGTCGGCCCGCTTGGCCGGGCGGCGATGTCGGCAGACTGTGCGTGCCCGCTCGTCTCGCCGGCGGATCAGCCGGCTTTAACTGACCCGGGTGGCCGTGTCCGGGCGCCGGCGCGGCCTCGGCACGGGCAGAACGACCGCCGCGTGGCGCAACAGCGGTTCCGCCTGCTAACGCCGCGGCGGGCCGACCGCTGAAGCAGCGTCCATCGGTCGCGGCGCCGGCGCCAGCGTCCGGGCGTGACTGATGACGGCGCGCCCTGTCCCCGCGAGATCGGGCTCTCGGCCGGCCGCGGGTCTGCCACCGAGCTCCAGCTCACGGCACCGCCCGGGGCACCAAGCCAGTTGCATGCAGGGTCACCTCACGGCGCGGTCACGAGGCGGCGCCGGCGCCAGCGTCCGGGCGCGACTGATGACAACGCGAGATCCCCGCGAGATCGGGCTCTCGGCCGGCCGCGGGTCTGCCACCGAGCTCCGGCTCACGGCACCGCCCGGACGCCGGGTCAGCTGCACGCGGGGTCACCTCACGGCGCGGTCACGAGACGGCGGCGGCGGCAAGTCCATTAGCGCGTCGATCTCACTCGGCGCCAATGGTCGGTGGAGCGTCGACGCCAGCGCTCTACCGGAAGTGAACGTTATTAGCGCGATCTGTCACGCGGCCTGCCGTCAATGACCGTCGGCTGGCGCCGGCTGTCACCAGCATCCGGCCCGGCGCGGAGGCCGGCGCAGACCGCTAGGTGATCAGCGGCGCACGGCGGCCGGAGAACAACAGCAATCATACTCAGCCGCGCCCAGCTGGTCAACAGCGGTCGGCCGGGTCACCGGGCACGCGGTGATGGCGCTCGGCCGGGTCACCGGGCACGCGGTGATGGCGCTCGGCTGACCTCCGCAGCGCCACTAACGCCGAGTGCCGTCGCGCGGTCGCGATGCTTGCCTCGACCGGTGCTGAACAGTGGCGCTTATGCGGTATCCGGGCACTGTTAGGCGGTAGACTAATAGTGACCGCTTGACTGCTCGTTGGCCTCAGCGAGCCACTCAGAACTAATGCATGACTGAACACAGGGAGTTTCCTGGCCGGCATGACCGCATCCTGTCCACCGAAGTGGCCCTCGCCGGACAGGAATACCGCCCCGGCCCCGGAATCTGGTACGAGGACGGGCCGGCCGGTGATTTCTCCGCCGGACCACGGACTTTCTCCGAGCATTCGGCCAGGCCAAACGGGCCCGCCACCGGTGCCCAGCCCGCCGCAGGGGCCGTGCCCGGCTGACGACTCGCCGAGAGGCTGCGGGGGTTATGTGCATCGCCTCACCTCCCGCTATGTCACCTGACCTCCCTACATCTGACTGTCTAGCAAGAGTGGAGTTAGTAGGTGTGACGACGAGGTCACCACAACACCAGAGTCCCTGTCCCTCAGAGAGGTCGGTGCTCGCGCTCCGGGCCAGCTGGACTGGGCGGTGGCCGGGCCGGCCGCCAGCGCGTGTAGACGCCGCCCGACCCTGAGCCGCCAGCCCGACCAGCCGGTCGCCCGTCACGAGCGTGGCGAGGCCGCCGCCGCCGCCGCCGCTCGGGTGCTGCTCACGGCGCGCGGGTGGCGCCATCAGCGTCTGAGCGGTCCCCAGGCACACGGACGGTACCCCTGTAGGTGGAGTGATTTCCGACATGCCCTGCTCCCCCCCCCCGCCCCTCCCTTCCCTTATAAGCATGCTTGCAAGGAGGTGTAAACATAAATGACCAAGTTTAATGATGATTGCCCATTTTGATAATGACGGCCTGACCTGCCAAGCCCGATTCCTATCTCTAGCCATGCAACTGTTCACCATGGCTGCCGGAGCCAGACGCTGCACGCGAACGTACCCGCCTGCAGCTGTGCCTCGCACCGGGGCGCCTTACCTCCTTTGGGCTTGGTCTCCGGGTAGCAGATCCTGAAGAGGCCCTGCGTGCGAGACCGGAAGAGGCCGGACGAGTCGAAGCGCTCCTGGTCCGAGGCCGAGAGTGTGCCCTCGCCGTTGGCCATGTCCTCCTGCAGCAGGGCAGCACGCTGGTGAGAACGCAGGTGAGAACGCGGGCGAGCACGCACTGCAGTCAGCTGGCCAGCCTGCTGAGGGGCGCGAGCGGGGCGTGCTGGGACGTAATCGGCGGCGAGGTAAGGCGGGGCGGAGAGCTCCCAGACACAATGGGCTCTGCAGGACGCTCCAGCCACTGGCTTTGAGACTGCGAGAGTGGTCAGAGGGGATTTCCCGCGCCATAATTCGAGCACAGGGCCCAGGCCGTCAGCGTCCGGTACCAGCCCTGTCCGTCCGGGCTCACGCGGCAGTCCTGTCCTGTCAGGACCGCCGGATACGTCAGGACCCGGGGAGAGCGCTGACGGTCGGTACGGCGGGGCTGGCACGGCCCTGCCCTGCGAACACGGGACGACGCACGGGCGGACAGCGGAGCCACGTGAAAATGGCAGGTTGGCCTTGGTGCTGCGAGACTGGCGGTCCCCAGGCGGCCCTGAAAGCCTTGAAGACTTGGTACTGGTTTGCTTGCGGCCCACAGCGCTAGCGTGTGGGAAATTTCTGGATTGGCAAACAAAGCGCCGAGTGCTGTTCACAGAGACCCTGTGGAGCAGTTTAGCAATCACTGGCAGCCTGTCATGGGTGATATTTTTGTTGATTGAAGCGGTTGAACGGTTGGTCGTAGATAGATGAGCTTACCCCACAAGTACCACGATAACAACTCGCCAGATGTGTTCACATCCAGCCGCAGCTTGATGTCGAGGTAAGGAGCGCAAATCAAAAGTCAGTGTGTATCCCTTTTATGAAGAACGCTCTGAAAAATACGTCAGACAATCCTGGACTTCGGAAAGTTCTGCGATAGAATAAGTTATAGGGTCTAGGAAAGATTCAGATCCAGGAATTGTGATCTAGGTTCCAGGATCACTTTTTAGAACCTGATACCTGCCTGTCAGCAACTGGGTCTGACACCTGGGTCAATAAGCCTGCACCGTCTGCAGCACTCCGTGTCCCAAGCTGTCACCACGTTCCACCGCAGCATGAATCACAGCATGTGCCTGGCAGTCATGTGCCCCAGCTCAGGGCAGCGTGGCTAAGCCGCGCCGCACGGATAACCCAGCCGGCCGGCTCTCTGATCGGGCCGGAGCCTCCTGACCGGGCCGGGGCTCTCTGACCGGCGCCGCTGGCTGGCCGGAGCCGGCTCTCTGACCGGGCCGGGGCTCCCTGACCGGGCCGGGGCTCTCTGACCGGGCCGGGCTCTCTGACCGGGCCGGGGCTCTCTGACCGGCGCCGCTGGCTGGCCAGAGCCGGCTCCCTGACCGGGCGGGGGCTCCCTGACCGCGTGTGGAGCTCTCTGACCGGCGCCGCTGGCCGGCCCGGGCCGGCCCGGTGAGCAGGCTCGGGCCGGGCGCGTCGCCCAGCCGCATGACACGGCCCACATCTCCAGCGGCACGGCAGAACTCCGGCCGCCTCAGGCTGTCACGCTCGAGCGGAGACGATGGCTGCATTGTGAGGCTCCTGGCTCGTGACGGGCGACGAGCGACGACCAAGGGGTTTTAGCACCGGTTTTGATTCTGTCGTCACCCACAAAAAAATACTATCGGATTGAGGCGTCTTGAATTAAGAACACTTCGGATGATCTTTTGAAGAGAGCTGCTGGTCCAGTGGGTCCACCTCTGGACATTTTCTTCAGATGTGGACGAAGGATAAGCCAGTTGCACCAGTTGGTGCAAAAGTGTACTTTTCAAAGTGCTGCATCCATGCAAAATCCACGAGGTAATGGGTTAGATGTGCCAGCATCGTGACTGATTTCATCAGCTGACGCCGCTATGAATAGTGCGCTAATTGCATCGTGCATGTTTTATGGGCGAATTTAACTCATTATACGACTTAAGGACATAAGTACACACCACCTTCAGATTAATGCCCATTTTGGTAACGGCATTAGCACGTAAGCTTCTCTCTGCAGATGATTGCTTTAAGTAGTCTAGTATCTCTCTTCGAATCATTCCCGCGTGGAAAGTGTTTTAAATCGTGCACGGGATATCAGCAATCCAGCGCTAGTTTGCGGCATGTTATTGTGCCGCACAGCACAAATCCCGACCACCTAGCGAACATAACGCGTCACGCATCACGCTCTGGATCAGCTCCGGCTGGCTCCACGGCGCAATAGCTGCGCGGCCGAGCGACCCCTCCCACCGCTGTCGTCATCCGACACGCACGGCGCGTCACAGGCCACAGCCATACATCAAGTGGAGTCCAATAACAGACCTTGCAAACAGTTCCGAAACAACACCGGCCAGCCGGAGCTCGCCTCGGTCCGCGAACGCCCCGGAGACTGCCGAGCAGCGGCGGCGGCGCCACACGTGACTGGTCCGGGGTGAGGGGGGGGGGGGGGGCTGCAGGCTCGGGCCGGCCGGCGGACCTGACCGCCAGCTGAGCCTCCTCCCCCATCCCCTCCGCCGGCCCGGGGTGAGGGGGGGGGGGCGGCTGCAGGCTCGGGCCGGCCGGCGGACCTGACCGCCAGCTGAGCCTCCTCCCCCATCCCCTCCGCCGGCCCGGGGTGAGTCACGAGTGGCCAGTCAAGGTCCGCCGTCTCGAGCCGCGATCCCGTGACGCCGGGCTCGCCGGGCCTCGCAGGCCGCGGCCGCGACCCCGCCGCCCGGGAACTGGGCCACCGGCGGCGGTCGACTTCCGACAGGAAGTGGCGCCGCAACATAGACAGGCCTGTTCGACGGCGGGATCCGCTGCTGAAGAAGGACGGACTTTCGGCGCAGATGAGAGCTTCAGGCGAAGGTTGGTGGTGACCGGATCCGTCGTCGCGGCTAAACGCATCTGATGCGCGCGTTCGCGGCCAATGTCCAGCCTCCTCCCACAAACGCAGAGACGAAAACGGCATTGATGATGCCAGTCAAGACGCTTCGAAGCGAAGAAAACTTGCACAAATATGTACCAGGTATACGTGCGACGTTATTGTTCATTGTGTTCCAGAGATTACGAACACTAACACCGCCCCAATGGACGTGCTGAGCCCTGTTAAGTTAATCAATGCATTTTTAAGTGATATTTCCAGACCGGTGTTCTGAAATAGCACAAGAATGTGTCAAGGGTTTTACGGGGCCTGCGGACGGCGCCGAGAGGCGAAGCCATGGGGACTGCAACGGTGCGTGTAAGGCTATCCCAGCCGCCGTCGGAGGCGCCGCACAGGGCCGCCGCTCTGGGTGGAGTGTTGTTCCGAGCACTGGCTGCCACACGGCGCGGCTATGTGGTGCGCAGCCAGGCGGGGGTCGGCCCCGGTTCTGGCCCGTGGCTCCCCTATACGACGGAGGACGCAAGAGTCGCAGAGTGCGCGGGCGCAGAGGGGGTTTGTTGGAGTACTAGGTGCATTCCTCCATAAGCGGTAAACGTTCAACGTCATTTGGCCAAAAATGATCACAGAACACATATGATCTGCGAAGCGCAACAAAAAGACTGCCCATGCAAACGTCTGAGAGGTTCTCACACCGCACCAGAGTGTCGGAGACCTGCCGGAGTCTGCCAGGAGTCTGACTCAGATCCGCCCGCCGGCTGAGTCTGACTCACACCCGGACCCAGGTCCCGGCCACGGCCGACAGTCCGTCCATGGTCCGTTACGGACCGGTCGCTGGAGCGTCTCACCCTGCGCCGATCTGTGTCGATGGGATCGCGTTCCACGGCGCGCGCTACTGCCGAGAGACGCCTCCGCCCACAGTCTGAGGCTCGGCGACGAGCCGGGCCCAGCCGCCACAGCCGGGCGTCGTGAGCGTTGGTAAACTATTGGTGGATAGAATGTTTACCTTTGGAAGGTGTGTCCAAATGTTAACGCAAACTGTTGTGATTCTCACAACGAATTGACTTAGTTTTCAAAGATAAAACACAACATCGTTTCATACAACCCGAGTTTATCTCGCTCACTTCGTAACAGCCCCTGCCATGACTGCAAGAAGTGATCTGGAACTATCTTCAGACAAGATTTGGCACCACGATGTCGTGCCTTTATTTTTGGTATGTAGAACCGGTTATTACTAATGTCAATGTGTGGAAAATTTTGAGAAGCTTAACTTTCTCAACTCTTATCGATTTCCAGTCATGCTTGCTGAGATAGAGGCCGAGTCGCGCGGTTGATGTCAGACATACGAAAACGTTCCACGCTAGATCAGCGACTATCACTTTTAGTGACAACAGCCAACGCCACTGTGTCGCAATCAAATGCTTCGTAGCAGGCATCTATCATCCACGCCCCTGTGACATACGGACGTCCCGTTCGCCCCGCAGTCCCCAGGCATGTGACAGCGCAGAGTGTCAGTGATTGCGAGGCCGGGGTCCCATCTGAGAGCGCTGGACAGCGCCCCGGCGGGGCTCACGGCCGGCCGCTCCAGGTCCCGCCTGTCTCCGCTCGACGGCGGCCCGGCCAGCCACTCAAGGTCCCGCCTGTCTCCGCTCAGCGGCGGCCCGGCCAGCCGCTCCAGGTCCCGCCTGTCTCCGCTCGGCTGCGGCTCGGCCAGCCGCTCCAGGTCCCGCCTGTCTCCGCTCGGCGGCGGCTCGGCCAGCCGCTCCAGGTCCCGCCTGTCTCCGCTCGGCGGCGGCTCGGCCAGCCGCTCCAGGTCCCGCCTGTCTCCGCTCGGCTGCGGCTCGGCCAGCCGTTCCAGGTCCTGCCTGTCTCCGCTCGGCGGCGGCTCGGCCAGCCGCTCCAGGTCCCGCCTGTCTCCGCTCGGCGGCGGCTCGGCCAGCCGCTCCAGGTCCCGCCTGTCTCCGATCGGCGGGGCGCACGGCCGATCGGTCACGGCTGAGCGGCGGAGGCCAGCGGTGCTGCCGCTGTCTGACGGCCGGCGCCGCCGCACCGCTGTCGCCGCCGCTTCTCGCGGCTTGCTCAGCTGACTGGCACCGGTCCGCTCAGGGAGGGGGCCCACTGACTGCTGACTGGGACTGCTGACTGCCCACTGACTGCTGACCCCGGCTGGTGACTGGAAACGGCTGCGATTTCCGTCACCGCCACCAGGACCCACGT